ACTACTGGTATTACTGGTACTAGTTGGTTGTAGTTGTAGTAGTAGTCGTCGTCGTAGTAGTAGAAGTATTATTGTTACTACTACTACTACTACTACTACTACAACAACAACTACTACTACTACTACTATCACTACTACTACTACTACTACTACTACTACTGCTACTGCTACTACTACTACTACTACTACTACTACTACTGCTACTGCTACTGCTACCGCTACTGCTATTACCACTGCTACTGCTACTGCTACCGCTACTGCTACTGCTACTGCTACCGCTACTGCTACTGCTACTGCTACTGCTACTGCTACTGCTACTGCTACTGATACTGCTGCTGCTGCTGCTGCTGCTGCTGCTGCTGCTGCTGTTGCTGTTGCTGCTGCTACTGCTACTGCTACTGCTACCCGACGATGACGGTGAGCAGTCAGAATACGTCTACTGCTGCAGCTTGAATTAGTGCCGGTACTCGTACGGGCAGTGCACGACTACCACCATGGCAACTCAGACTCCGACGCATCGGATAGCGGCTGTGGACATCTGCTATCTCTGAACGTCTACCGTGTGAGCGCCAATGCTCGCAGTCGGCAAACTTTGTTTCACAGGAGCTCCTTTTGTTCCTCTGGAAGTACCAGCCTCCGACGGCAGCCGCTCTGCCGGACACACCGGTGCAGGCGGAAGTTTCTACAAACATGGCTGCCCCGAAAGCCCCGAGAGTGAAATCGATATCATCTTGAGAGAATAGGACTTGGGGATTCGGTTCTTGTGGGCTTGCCGTTGCGAGATGAAACTCCCTCTCAATCTTGAAAGCTGCAAGCAGCAATCCCAACGTATCTTTCTGACTGCTGTAGGTGAAGTACAGGGCACCAGGGAGGCCTTCAGCCAGGACCATGATCTCGCGCGCTACTATGGACTCTGAGACGCCGAGGTCCCTGTCGATCGCTGAAACAGCCGCCAGGGACGCTCACCTAAACTTTTTAAGCAAGGGGTATGGCTCAGCCATTCCCGGGGACCAGCTGGAGACCCTGAATATCATCTCCTTGTGAGTTCGACTGCCTTCCTTAAGAGGATGAGCTACAATCCACGCCCCAAGCGACAGAAAAAAAACAAGGCTGCACCTGTGAGAATCGTGACATATGTCGACTAAGGTTAAGAATATCCCCAAGCCCGGACGAGAGAAGTTTTCATGCCACAAAGTAAGAGGCTGACTTAGATTAGAAAGCGAGCTGGCATTGTTTTTAAGCACACTCTGCGGGCGAACCGGGCACCCATTGACACCAATCTTGATTCACCGGGCTGGGTAGCAGCATGCTCGCGAGAGAGCTGTGCGAGAATTACTGCACAATTCATCAGAGGCCAAAGCATCGGTTCTATTCCAGGGAAACACGCTTCCGGTTGTTCTTAACCATTCACTACGTTGGCTGTCCCTGTGTTAGGGGGATTTCGATGTCACTTTCTGGCAGTTCCTCCGAAGGTAAAAACCCAGCACCCTTTGCCAACTGGACAAACTTCCAGACACCGAACCTGCTTCTTGCGTCGTTTTCGTGTCTGTCGTCTGCGGAGTTCGGGCCCCGACAAGACCAAGAGCCCATCAGCTTTCATTTCGAAGCCTCTCGCCGTGCAGAGAGCGCAGACTGAACCTGTGGTTCAATACGCAGGAACGCCTCCGTGGAGGACCGGAATTGGCAATTTCCTTGCGTGCGCAAGCTGTGCGGGACCTGGACTCTTAGAACCGACGTCTGTGGACCTTTCCTATGTAGGCTCTGCCAGGATCGCGGGTGTGAAGTTTACGTAGGAAGCAGGGTTCAAAACCATGGTTTGCGATATCAGCCGCAGAAGTCTGCGCGGTGGCTTTCTGCCTTGAGCAGTAGTTGAGCTTATCGGTACTGTCCGCCGGGGACTATAGGACTTGGTCAAATCCCCCTGGCAACACCCCGAACTTCTCGTCTTCAACAATGATCCATAGGTGGGATAAGGGGCCCGTTAATGAGGTGCCTCTTGGGCCGTGGGCCACCAGTTAAGGAGCTAGGAAGCTCAGTCTCATACACAGATGGTTTCAACCAAGGGCCCCTAGTGTGGTCCACTCTCCTCCGGAATCCGGGAAAAATAAAGCTGTATCTAGCTTTTCCTGCTTGGTCTAGCCTGGCCCAGCTTCTCCTAGCCTCATGCGACATGACGTGTGCAACGGCAGGATACTGCTACAACCCTATATCTTTCGCCTCACCTTACGCATTAAACTTCAACCGCTGCTTTGATAATACACCTTAGCATTTAGCTAAGGTGTTTTGTTCATTCTCGGCATGATGGAGTCTAGGATATATTTAGCTTTGGCTAGCTTCTCTTAGCTTCTGGTAGCTTTTGATGGTATACCTTAGCTTGTCGTAGTTGTCCATAGCTTTCTTTAGTTTATAATGCAGAACACCCGGATTTACTATGGTTTTCCCGCGATGCTAAAGAAGCCCCACATATATGCGGGACCCTTATACCCCTATATGAAATGACCAACTTCTGCGTACAACAGAACCGCATCAGTTCGGCTGCAAGATTTTGCGATGCTGCAATCGTTTGCAAAACATGCTGTTTCCACAGTGCTGGGAGCACCCGACACCCGGCTGGCGAACTGAAAGAACTTCAGAAATTTAGACTTGCATGGAGCAGTCTAGCTTTCCTAGCATTTGACCGTGGTCAGGTCGCATTGCAACTAGGACCTGCCTTGCGTGGAGTGCACATGTCCACATTGTCCGCACACTGGCCTGAAAACAGCGCTTTTTGGACGCGACATTTTCTTGCGTTCTTCAGACGCTCCTTGACTTCTGCCGCGACCAGGAGAAAGTAGGCACTTCATGACCGCGGGCAAAGGCCTGGGTATGGGTAGGAAGTAAGTGCAGGCTTGTATGATCCCCGTGCCAGACATGTTCCTTCCATGTAGGAGTGCGGCGAGACGCCAAACTGTCAGGCTCCGAGCTGCACTATGACCCACGCCTGCTCACCTTCGAGTTCTTGTGCAATGCCGCTCGGCTTTGGAAAGGAGGTGTGAGGCTTGAAGGCTGTTCGAGATGAGCGGCAATCCAGGTGTTTGCAGGGCCACAGCAAAACTCGTGGTCAAGATGCAGCTTGTGCCGTCAGGTCATGCTTCGTCGCCCGCAGGTCAGAATCTGAGCTGGTGCCTTTAGCATGGTTTAGCCAGCCGCGTCCCGTGTAAAAGGTGCAGCTCATCCGGGCCTTTGCTGCAAAGGCAGAGGCCGGCCACATGAAAGCCGGGCAGTGGCGGCTGGTACCTTGCATTTTCTATGTGGAAGTGAATGTGTGGTTTGGGTGACCTGCGGCAACCTGCAGATTACTTCTAGCCGCGGGCCGGGGCGGGATCAGTTCGGCAGAGGCATGCGGAAATCCATTCGATACCGCTTGTAGCTTAGATGGCAGGGGTTCGCTGATTCAGAGCTGAGACAGGCTGGTCATTCAGTGCCAGTGGCTCAGCAGCTGCCAAGTCCGAACGAGTGCACAGTTTGACTTGCACAGCCAGTCTTGCGGATGTTTTGAGCAGTTCTTTGTGAAAGCTTTGGGCAACTTCATCGCGACAGGAGGTTGACTGCCTAACCCCTGCGGAATTCTGTCTCTTGCCGACCATGCCAGCATCGATCATCGATACAAACCATGCGAAAGGGCCAAAACACCCTGCAGCACAGTGTGTTTTTCAGGTCGGCAAGGTTCAGTTTGAAGATGCCCGAGCAATTTGGCAAGTTTCCATGTGAAGCAGTGTGTTCGGGTATGTTTTGGGGCTCCATGCGATAGACAATCACCGTGGATGCCTTTCCCTACCGGATGTAGTTCTCCCAGGTGTCAGCAAATGCTGATGGGTGAAGGGAAGACGACCATGATAACTCCGCTGGTCGTGCTTCTCCTTGCAGACGGAACGAGGCACCTTCTTGGTCGCAGGGTGGCCTGCAGAGACGGTCAGGAATTGGAATAGCCTAGCACGGTGATAGTTACAGTGACCGAGGCTTCGAAAACTTAGATCCCCAACGCCAAACACGCGAAGAACTCTACGTGCCCTCAAGCTGACGGTGTGGCAGGCTGGTGTGTGCCTGCATGCCATCTGCACTGCTGGGTATGCCATGCCCGCAGCAGTGGAGAGCAAGGGCTGCCTTCAGTCTGGCAAGCCACGATCTGATCGAAGGGGAAGGTGGAACCGTTACTTGTAGGAACCTGACTAGGGTGCGATATTTCGGATAAGGATGAGGTAATCAAGAAAGAAAGAAAGAGCCAAAGAGCGAGAGCCAGACTAGTCTCCCCGTACATAACAAGAAGAATCACGATGTATTCTGGCGCGATGTATTTTGGCGGCTCGCTGGATCATGCCTAATGTAAATAGAACATGCTGGCACTTGCGGTTGTCCTTGAGGTCTCGTGCAGTTCTCGCAGAACGATTTTCGTCCCCAGTGCTGCCAAGGCCTTCTATCCTGCATCTCTTCGGGCCCACAACAGAGGAGGGTTTCGAGATGTTTCGAGTGAGTCGCAGAACTTCAATTCAGTTGTCCCCGGCGTGTTGCGTACACCTGGACCCTCCTTTTCCTGATATATCATATAGGTTTGGTCAAAGCTGCGGCTCCAACTTCAGGAGCTGCGAGCTTTCAATTTCTTAAGCCCTCGCCGCCAGGCCTGTGCTGACTTTCGACTTCCATCGCCAGGCCTTCCGAGCCAGCTGGACAAACCCACTCTCCTCTCACTCCTGTGAGGTCCTTAAGTCCTTAAAATTAGCCTAAGGCGATAGAAAATCAGACCAGTTGATCTGCCGTCAAAATAGACTTGATCCTGAAAGTTGAACCTTGTCAAGCCGGTCTGGAACCGAATGACTCGCCACTTGGGTCTCTGGGGCATCCGCCGTGAGAGAAGGTGGTCGCGACCCCGAACTTGCTTGCAAAGCTCAATGCTGCACGGAAGGGACGGGTGCAGGGCTTGTAGTGCTTGCCTCTGTAGCTATGTTTGAGAGCATGAGTGGTCTTAGTCAATCCGAGGCAGAGAAGAGCGCTATGTAGATCAGCTATACTCCAGCGAAGCAGAGCCAGCCCCCTGCAGCCAGGGCCAACACAGTCTACTGATTGCTCAATCGTGCAATCGAAATGCCTGCGGTGAGAGCGCCGAAGCCAAGCATTCTGGAAATCTGAACCCCTTCGAACCAGAAACGAAGTGAGCACAGCAGCTGGGACAAAAGAGATTCGACAGGCAGTCGTGTAACATGTCATCGGCGCACTTTGAGAGTCAGAGCAGCTCGCTTGCTTTCACCACTTGGTGCTCGTCTTGGGAAAACCACTTGCCCACGCAAATCGCATGCTGGTTTTCGTAAGGCGTCCATTCTACCATAAGCAAGCACAGTCTCCTGTTTATCCGAGGCGCCAGTGATTGCTGCACCAACTTCTGCAGGGTGCCCACAAATCAAACTGCAGACCAGTGCAGTTGCGTCATGCTTCCAATTGCACAGATGCGAGGCCCGGGACCGCAAGGGCAAGTTGAGAGATCCCCGTGCGCTTGCGATCTTTAATGCAGCCTGCGCCATGTCGAGCAGTTCAACACTGAAAGGGATCCGCAACATGAGGTGAAGAGCGTACTCCTTCGTCGCATCGAGCTGCTTTTGGAGTGTTGGTCCCGGTCTCTCCCAGTCAGTACATCACAAATTTGAGCTTGGGTCGAAATTTCGCACAAATTCAAGTGTTTCCTCACCTATGTTCCATTGTACTTGCGTGAGGTTGCGTCATCTACAGACATCTCGTGTGCAGCAATCGGCTGAGACGGAAACGCAGGCATCAGTGCTGGCGAGACACACAATCCTGCCTGCAGTCCTGCGAGGTAATTCTACAGGGAAACTGATGATGTGGGAGTTGATGAGAGCTTTATCAGCCTCGCAAATTCAAGAACTGGGAAGACGACTGGAAGGTCTGTGAAGCTCCTGGCTTTGTGCTCCTGCCGCGCATGTTTTGTTGCTTTGCACGGGCTACTATGGATTCTATGGGAGTTAGCATGTGAGCGGTGCTTCAGTGCGCGATTGCGTTGCAATTTCTAGAGGTGTGGCAGGTGCCATTTCTGTGCCAAAACACGTACGATAAAAGGCTGCATGCAGTTTATCTCAGCCAATCTCCGCAGAGCAGGCCTGTTGTACGTAGTACCGCGTCTATGCCTCTGCTCTAGTTGGGCGGCATACTCATACTGGCGGCTGGGGTAGCTTGGCAGCCCCTACTCCTAGTCCTAGACCCCGGCTGTCAGAGTCGTTTCCAAAGCGACGATGGCCAAAGCTTCGGCGTACATCGTAGTACGATTGATGATTCCTTCGCTGCCCTCATCGCTGACGCTGTAAATGCGCAAGGTGCTACCAGTTTTGTAATTCGTAACATCGTAACTAATGCCGCAAGGCACTTCGTGAAGAAGGCTCTCTTTTGGATTGCACGCTTTTTGGACACTGCTGTGATACTGTCATCCTATAGTGCGGCTGGGTAATTCTGCATGCTAGAGTTCCCTTCGTACCGCGAAGTACACATGGTGCTATGCGCATTGCTCTTGGGACACCATGTAGTTCCTGGTGCAGGGCTGGCTTCGTCTTCCTTCTTGGCTGTCCGTGGCACGCTGGCTGAGTTTGAAGTTCGGTCGAATCATCGGTCACTGACTGCGTTTAGGGAGGAATCATCGGCCGCTGACTGCGCTTCGCTTAAGGATTTGCGCCCGAGTTCTGCAGGTTTCAGCTTGACAGGCTGAGGCACAGCATACTGGGTGTACCATTGCGGCAAGCCTCTGTCGGTGTGAGGTTATATGTGCTTCAGCAATACCGCAGTGCAGCTAGCGGATGCAACTACCTGGTTTGGGAACATTCCGAGATAGCTAGAGCACTAATTGCCCACTGACGGCAGGATCTGAGCGGGAAACAAGAAATCCAAGCTTTCATGAATCACGTGCACGTGCCGCAATGCCCAGGCATCCAACCCGGATGACGAGATTGCAGATTGCCCTGTTGAGTTTTCTGCACAGGCAGTTTCTGGATCAGGGCACCCACTGTCTTCGGGCAACCATTTTTTTTGCAGCAATCCTTCATGCACCAATGGCAAATTGTCCCCCTGCACTGGTGAATTTATGAAAGCCTGCTTCAGGTTCCGAGGCTTGGTTGGGCACTTCCCAGATGAAGCTTCATGTGTCAGATCTTTCAGGTTGTTCAATTGTGTTGTCGGGCTGTCCGTCCGTCGCCGACAGGAGAAAGTCAAGGCAGATGAGGTTCGCTGGAGCCCCGGTGTATTTGCTGCTTGCACGACTGCCNNCCCCCCCCCCCCCCCACAAATTCCAAAAAACTGACGCATGCTGGAATCTTCGTCCACGCCGCCTTAGCATCTGCAAGTTTGCAGGCATCTTTCCGTACCAAGCCACGTCCGCAATAGCTTATTCCGTACGTGCGAGTCCCAGGTGTTTGTGGCGAGGTCTTAGATCTTTTCCACGGTGGCGTGATGCTGCTCGATGAGGTGGGGAGATCGGGACGATCCAGCACACCGACAGTGTTGAATAGCTGTCGTGTTGGTTGCCTCGTCAGAACATAGACCTATGTCAAATGCCAGGTCGATATGCTTCTGGATCCTCTCCGAAGTGAGCTCAACTGGCCGTTTCTTGGCTTGAGACATGCCATAGTTTGTGCCGCTGTTTCGCCGGTGCGTTGGGCTGTTTTGGTGCCCAGAGCCAGCCCACGCCGCCAGCCCTGCTTGAATGCGTTACGCATCCTTGAAGGCTGGGCCGGCGCCTGCCCCTGGACATGACGGGTAAGCGGCCCGAGCAGCCATGTTGAAGAAGCTCCGGGCTCGCTGTTTGCGTAGGCTGGTGATATCACCACCGTGCAAAACCTCGAAAAGTGGATTAGGCAACTTCAGTGAAAGTACAGTCCTGGACAGCGCAGTGCTTGAGGCCAGTCGGTGCGAGGAAGGCACGGGCCTTAACCGCCTTGCTGCTGCTGAGCATGGTCATGCCGAGCAGCGGCGCGTCACAGTTGCAGCAGTCCATTGTTGTCAGATGGGAACAAAAGCTAATAATTGAGTGTTTCAGTGTCAACATGGCACACCCGACACGGAGACACAAACGACACATCTGCTAGACCTTACCACGAGCTTTCGCTTTTAATCCGCCGTGTCTCGAAGCGCACTGTCAGGAATGGATGCCGCTACACTCTGCCGTTTGACCTGCTCGATGCGGTCTTTGCAGCGGCCGGGGTGCACTGGGGAATCCACGTAGGACGGCGAAATGAGCCTGATGGACAACAAACGTGCTGAGCATCGTTAGCTCAGTCCGTGAAGGTAGCTACTTCAACCATCACGGCGTCCTGAGAAACTGCGCTGGAATTCAGCCTGTCGTGCTCATCCTGGCTTGCATCTAACTATGGTCTCGTGGTGTCGGTGGCGTTTCATAATGTGAGGCCGCGTGGCCTAGCAGAGTAGCATGCGGCCCGGAAGCCGACTTCTGTCCAGGCGACAGGCTGTGCGGAGAGCACGCCGGCGAGCACTGCACCCGGCTATGCCTCGCATTTGAGCAGTGCTTCTTTCGACGTGAGAACGGAGACGCCCATAAATGAACAAGAGAAGAGCAATTTGGAATGCGAACGCAGCTGGTGACAGTGCAGCTTCGCGGGGCAGGGAATGCGAACGCAGATGGGGCAGCCCTGAGTAGCTCTGACGGTTTCCCGTCTCTGGGTGTCACGGCTCTGGGTGTCAGCATTGCAAGCATCATCACGAGACTAAGCGCTGCCACTATCAGGGAGAGATGCTCAAGTTGCCCTGGGGGTCGGGACCTCAGGAGGTTCGTCAGCAGGCCCGGTTCTGATCTCCCGAGCGGCATTCCAGTCTGAAAGTGTGGGACAACAGATTAACTTCATTCCAAATCAAACCCACCGGTGCCTGGACTTCTCCGGAATGTATTTTGCATGTCGTCTCGTTTTGTTTGCATTTTGGGCAGAACATGCGGGTCAAACACGATCAAAGCCATCAGGCCCTGGCACAGAAAGTCAAGCAGGGCCGGAAGTCCCTCAGCGTGCAGGCTCGAGGAACCTTGGGCCTGGGGTCTTCTCGGCACTTGGAGACCGATTTCGTTTCGGATTCAACGTTGCAGGGTCCAAGGTTCAGGATCGACATCTTAGCCTCGTACTCACCACTCTACCGACTATCCCGCAACGGCATGGACAAATACTCAAAGTGTTTCTTTTGCCTTTACGCCTGCCGTTGAGGCAGCCAGCCTCAGAATGAGTCAAGACTGCTGAGTGGTACTGGCAGTTGTACTGGTAGCAGTAGTTCACGGGCCCAACTCAACTGAACTGATCCATTTGGTTAGTTCGGTTAGTCAATGCTAACATTAACGAATAGAAGTGAAGCCTCATGCCCCTTGAGAGACTGAGTGAGTCACAGCGATTACTACTGCTATTAATAACTTACTTTCGCTGGTACTTGTCCCACTGGTAGCTTGAGTCGTAAGCACTACTAGTACTGTCTGTGGCCATCCTCTGCCGTACTTGTACCTTTGTTGTGTTCAATTCGCAACTGCCGAAGCCTCAACGAGTATCGGACAACGTTTGAATGGGGGATTAGCACAGCCTGGTACAGCAGGCGTCAAATCAACAGGACACGTTTATCAGTTTATCATTGGGAGGACGACCCATCCGTTTAGCAAATGCCAGCGATCTGCACATTTGTGTTACACAAAAGCTTAAACAGGTTCCTTTGACATGTATGCAAACATATGGGCGCCACCGTCGACGGACAGGGCAGGGGCGGGGGCCACAACCTCGTCTTAAGATTGCAAGAGACCGACGGCCTGTCGCGCAGAGGGTTCGAGGGTTGCTCGTGCTCTCCTGACTCTCTTGCTCTTGAGTGCTGAACGGGCAGGTAGGACACAGACCAAAAGACAGACTCAGATAGACAGTTTCCTGACATGACTTGACTTGACATGACCACACAATACCGCCAACACACACACACACACCACATGCCCACATGGGTATGCAGCATTAATCATTCATTAAAGTCATAAAAGCATTGTAACATGTTTGCGGCAAGCTGAACGCAAAGGCAAGGGAGTGTGGTGCACCACATGTTAGAACAGATCTCAGCGTGTGGATCCTTGACGGCTGTCCTTCCCAGCGAAGCTTGACATTTGACAGGTGGCTCCGCATTTTGTCCTTCTGTCACGCGACTTTTACCTGAAGGCCGGTGGGACACCGATAGTGATTGTGTTGCGGTCGCCGTGGTAAAGACGCCTACATTTCTATTTTCAGTGGAGTCCCTTTATGCATTGGTCACTAGATTTCTTGACTTCCCAATTTTGTCTTTTCTGAGGGGATCGTCACCGTGCTACATGCTGTCGGACAATACACCACTTCAGGAAATGCTGCCCCACTTAGCTGCAGGAGCCTCGGTCATGTGCTTCGGATTGAGCTGTCACAGCACCGCTCTCTGCGGTCTGGATTTCTCGGCTGCCAAGGATTGGGTCGCCCTCTTCGTTGATGAGCACCTGGAGGTCCTTCGCTCTGCACCCTGTGGGCAAGGGATTGTGCTCAGTAGGGAGAGACTCAGGGTTTCAATGGGCATGCTCAGCTCTAGCTAAGAGTTTCGGAAGTCGGGATGATATTGTGCAAGGCTTCGCGTGGTGAGACCTCGGAGAAGAGTGCGGACTGTTAGCCACAAGGGTTAGCGGATCCAGATCTAGCAATCATTGAAGCGCTTTAATGTCTGTGGACCGTTGCAATAACCGATATAGTCTCTCGAGAAGTAGCTGCACGGCACGGTTGATGGGCGTGCCAATCCGCCAGAGTCTAGACTTACAGGGCCGCCTCTACATGTCCAATCTAAGTGCACCAAAGCCTTTCATCAGCCACCATTTTCAGGGTGCGCTCCTGCTTCCGGACCTCCGCACCCTCCTACGTCAGGGCCGCGCGGGCCCTGCTTTTCTGGTCTGGGGAAGATGTGCGTGCGCAAAGGAGCACCTGCAGCCGTCAATCAAAGCGAGGCAATCGACCCCTCACAACCAAAAGAGTTGTTTCGGCATCTTTCGGCCATTACTTGCATCCAGGCCCAGAGCTCCACTTCCAAGAGATCCTGCTCAACATGTCGTCGCCAGGGCCCAGGGCCACAAATCATGTTAATCCACTCCCGCATCGCGCACTCGCGTACGAAGATGTCAGTGGGGTGTCATGGCTGCACTCTGCACCTATCAGAGTTTGGAGGTGCCCGATTGGACAATTCCTGAAGCCTGAATGGGCGCACACAGTCGCGTACCATACGGCTGTTCCGAAAGTGTTGGATGCGGTAAAGTCGCGTTCACAAGCCCCGGACTTGGACATGTCCAGGCACGGACGGAAGGTCCTCAACCTGGCTCTCTCGTGGCTGCATGAGCTGCTGTCGGAACCTCGGCGCCTTGTGAAGATTCTTGTGGTATTTTTCGAGAAGTTGATAATCATCGCCTGAGGGTTTGACGATCAACCGGAAGTTCCCTGTTTCAAGCTCACGAGAAGCAGACGAGTCCCGTGTGAAACAGACTCAATATCGGCAAATGCTTTGCTTGCTACCCGTAGGCATGAGCGGACGACTGGCAATCTAGCCACGGGAAAGACAAAGAAGCCATTAGCAGAAACATGGCACAGGTCCAGTGCGCGCATTTGTGTCTACAAACCCCTTAGTGAAGAGTGAAGAGTTACGGCATCAGAAAAATATCACGGGTCGACCAAGCCGTAGCGCTAATTCTGGAACTTGAAGTCGAGGCCTTACTTGCTGAGCAAGATCCACAGGGTCACTTATGGTCTTTTGCGGCTCGGCACACACCTGCAATGCCTCCGAATGGCGGGCAGGCCCCGCTGTACAGACCAGGATGTACACACAAGTTGGAGTTTCCATGTCTCTATTGTTGTCCTCACTATGCTAGGCCTGCACACGAGTGCCAGATGCCAGTCGCACTCACGCAAGCTACTAGGGTGACGGAATTGGTTCGGCAATGTTCAGATGTTCAGGACAGCTTCCTTCCGCCTTGCTTGCCTTTCTGCTGTTGCAGATGTAGGGATCCGAGGATTCAGGATGAAGCACGTCAGACCGTTGTCAATGTCGTGGCAAAGCTATCAAGCAACACGTATGTCCGCCCGCTCTTCCAGCTAGAATCTAGATAACCGAAGTAGTAGAAGGGAATAGCACACACAGGTAAACTGTGTGTATACATATGTATATATATATATACATGGATGTATGTATGTATGTATGTATGTATGTATGTATGTATGTACTGTATGTACTGTATGTACTGTATGTATGTATGTATGTATGTTTGTATGTATGTATGTTATATATATATATATATGCATATAAGTATATAGGTATATAGTTATGTACGGAGAGAAAGAGAGAGAGTTCCCATACCCCAAGCAAGCAAGCAAGAACATCTTTTATTGTGCACGGGACGCAGGCTCATGCAATCACTACGTTAAGCCAGCTGCCAACCTAATCTGTATCAGTGGCATGATGCTAGGGGACACAGGCCAAACTTGTTGCTAAGTTCGTTGATCGTACAGTGATTGTACTTTCGCGAGGGAGATGCTTACTGATGATTGTAAATGTTCAGCTTTCTCATTTAGCTGCTACATGCACAGCCCAGTTAAATGTCCTGAAGTCGCCCATGAACGTGGGTCCAGATGCTTAAACCAGGCCCTTGAAAAATTGATAATGAATCATTAAGAATTGCGAAAGCCAATTCGCGTCAGCGTCTTCTTTCTCAGACTGCCCGCAACTGCAGCTTAGTCTAAAGCCCAATTGAGAGAGCGGTCGGGTCCCTCGAGGCCTCGCACATCCTCAGCGAGTAGTTTTTGAAGAAGAAGAAGAAGCACGGTTACTATCGATACCTATACAAGCTTAAAGAGAGGAGTCAGAAACGTTGTGTGTGCAGCTTCTGCACAATCGTATTATTGGTTCCTTTCATGTCAGTACACAAGACGATTAGGGTGCATGTGTAGTTGCATGTTGCGACTTCGTCATGTCATGCGAGCTTTAAGTTAATTCTGCCTGTAATTACAAGTTTTTTTCGTGGATGTGTGTTGTGTTTGTTATTTCTTGGTTGCCTTTTCTCCCATCCTGCTGCGTAAGGACTGGCCATGCGCTTGAAATGGCCTGGGGCGATGTGCGCACTCCACTAAGCCGAAAGCTGTTGGCAGTGCCCTTTGTGGGGAAGGACCTGGCCGGTTCTCCTCAAGCCAGAGCTAAGCAACACAAACTTGAGGTCCGACGCGATGCCATATCACTAAGTATGTAAGGTGTAAGGACAACTGTTGGATGGTGTTCACGGCACCCGAAGACAGCCGCTCAAATTCCTAGGTCGAGGTTCCATCGCTCAATGTGTTTGGAGACTCATGGCAAGATGTACGATGATGACAGTGCTGCATGAAGTCTTGCGAGGACACCCCCAGCGTGTCCTCCGAATTCTCCCATCCAGACGTGACGATCGGCATTGGACTCAGACTTCTGTTTCTGCAGGATGGTGTTTGAGGAGGTGAGATGAGATGACTTTGCAGTTCCTAGACGGCTTACGCGTTGATGTGCGCTAGCCAGCCTGCGTCCTGGCTAGAGACCAGGCTTCACCATTTTGGCTTACCGATTGAACGGACTTCGCGAAAGGGATGCCGGCATCCTAGCATTCTGCTAACTCTTGCGGCCCTGGGCATGCATACATGCCCGGCTGCCGTCGATGCCCTTGTGGCTTTATCGAAGGCTATAATAGAGATGCATCCCAGGAAGGGCATTCTTGCAAGCTTGCATTCGAACCAGCCGAGGCAGCTTGCCACAGTGGTGCGGGACATCACGGGCAGAGTCAAGCAACATATACTTTTTGAGCTGAGGTTCGAACCCTTCTGAAGGTGCTGCTGGAGGAAATGCGGGCAGCATCTAAGCAGCACGTTCAGCAAGGTTTGGCTCATTTGTGGTCTTGATGGCGCACAGAGGATCCGGATGCAAACCTGATAGTCGGCATCTGTGACCTCATATCAAATCGAATTGAGATCCGCGGGATCTCATTCTGAGAACATCCTTCTTCAGTCGTCGCTAGGACTGGCTAACGCAAACAGCTGCCAGCCGATGTCACCTGTCGCATTTGTCAGGAAGGTGCTGTGCACTTTCATCGCCGAGCCGCCTGTCAGGCATGTCGGACAGTTGAACTAACGGAAGACACACTGTAGCGCCACCGTCAATTCATGGCCAGCCCAGCGCATGCACGCTCTGAGGGTCTTGGCTTCCTTCTGGCCTGCTTCCTCACTCGCTTGCGTTTTAGGCCACAGATTCCAGTCGCAGGCCTATGTGACGATGATCGTGCGGGCTGGCGGCAAAGTCCGCGGGTTCACCGAGGTCATGGCAAGCCTTGTTAGCGTCATGTCCACATGCTCGATGTTGGCACAGCCGAGAACCGCTGAGCTCAGAAGCTGTGAAGCCTTGATTTGAGCAGGACGGTCGATGGGTGGGCGACTTGAAAGATGACGAGCATCATCGTCGTCGGGCAGATTCGCTCGCAAAGTCGCGAGGGCCCCGTGCCAGGCATGTTCAGGGCCACCAAGCAGATTGATTCGTATCTTGTATCATCTTGTTCATGCCATGCATCACTACGATACCTTACAACAAGGCATCTTTGGTAGCTTGTATTGTTGCAGCCTGATCTTGCAGCATCCAATTTACGTTTTGACAGGCTGCCCCTCCAGTTTGGAAAACTAGTTGGTCATTTTCCAGGGGTGGTTCGACAGTACCGATTGAAAAGAAGAGGAAAGGTTCATGCTACCCAAAAGTATGCTAATCCAGAGCAAGGCCTAGCCGGCCTAGCTCACTGCCCAGCCAAGGCCACATCCCGCCAACTCAGGCGCAGCCAAGGGAACGGTGCTATGAACGCTAGGACTCCTAGGACCTGCTGTTGCTTGGGTGTCAAATGGCCGAACTCGAGAAGCTTGTAGCAAATTGGCGACACCCATGGGCCTCACTTGGACTTTATACTTTTGGGAAGTTCGGACCTCAAGCCCAAGTCCTACGTCCAAAGGTGGCGCTGTGCATTTGTTGTTGAAGCAAGCATTCCAATGAAGACGTCAAGATCTTAATCAGTCACTTCGCTTCCTTATCTTGCTTCCACAGGTGTCGAGGACGCGGTCGACAGGCCCCCAAATGCACCGTATAGGTTCGTGGTAGCAGACTGAACTTATCGTAACGTCAGGGAGGATTGAATTTATGACTAGGCGGCTTTTGCTTGGAAACGGCCGCCGATATCTTCGCAGGACACAGTCATAGTGCTGTCCATGCTATGTTGATGCAGAAGGCGGAATGTATGGCCCTTGGAGCTGCTGGACATCAACGACCCAGAGTGGCCGGCCAAGTTCAGGAGTTTGATCCGGAGTTTTTGGAGGCCACTGGTGAGGTGGAGGAGCTTCCTTCAGCCTCGAGATCTTTTCCCACGGGTCGGATTTCTACTGCCAGAGGTCCCAGGCCCACAGTAGTCAGTCACGATGAGGAGGCCATCCCTGGTCGGAACTGAGGCAAGTTCAGCTTGTCTACGATGTGCTGCGCTACTCCCCCATGGCAATCCGTCACCTGCAGGGGACCTCAGCAAGAGCGGTAGCAGCACCAAGCGTCATGGACTTCTCTACACAGCCACTGGCAGCAACCTCTCTTTAATTCAATTGCCGATGAAAGAGGAAGATCGCTTTCCTTCGGTAGTAATGCTTCGCCAAGGCTGGAGCACAATGTCTTCATCGCGCGGGCCTCGCTGCTAGAGAGTCTGAAACAAATCAACGGCTGAGGCACATCACAGAGCGCAAGCTCGTATTGGGCTACTGTGAAGGTTGGCCGCTGGCCGGGCCCAGGCAATCTTGCAACAGAGGCCCACAGCGGGAAATCGCGGTTAAATTTCCACTCCTTGAGCACTCCAAGGCAGGAACACTGGATCGCAACGAGACTCAACTTACCGCTTGTGGCCAGGACCCTTCAGAGCTGCCTTTGAAGTGTCTTGCTTGCGATCGCATAGAGCCGCCGCTGTCTGTTCCGGCGATCCCGGCCACTCGGAATCTTGCTTCCCTTCCTAAGGCCCAAGAAACTTTCCATAGCGCAATTTTTAAGCCATATGCATTGGATTGGTTAGCGAATCTAGCGCCTCATTGTGCTGCGCAGGAGTTGGCTGGGCCGGCATCTCAGTGTCTCCGGTGTTTGGGAAAGCTACTCACGCCCCAAGTGCTTCAAATTGCACACGACGGGCCGAAGTATGCCCGCAGTTCAGTCCTGATACGACAGGGGCCTGGCCTAGTCCCAAAGCAGGGCAGCTGCCGAAACCTCAACTACACCCTTAGTGTCCGCAAGAGAAGGGGGTGGACAGATAAAGTGAAGTTGGTGAGAGTGAGGAAAAGAAGTGCACACTAACATCACCTGGCATCTGTGGGCCAGGGTCGCATACAGAATCCGTTGGCCCGTCGCTCGCAGAGCTGCGAAGCCCCTCTCAAAACCAGCCGGACGTGCCCAGGCCGCAGCTTTTCAAGCAATGCCTTGGCTTCAGCGGCACTCCCAATGACCTGCTGCTTGGGCCTCAGGGGCCAAGGGGTATCGGAGTCTTGCGGTCTCATTCGCTCTGCTCTGGGCGGGCCGAGCAAATGAGCTCAAGGCTGTATAGAGTCTAGAGGGCTGCCACTGTCTCCGCAAAGGGTGTCCGGTCTATTTCTCGCAGTGGTTTGTCTCAAGTATCACGGCTGTTTCAGAAGAGAGCGTTCGTGCAAGTTCTGCAGCTGTAACTGGCTGTAATTGTAGGAGCTTGTAAGTTGTAAATCAGCCCCGTGAAGCTATGCATCGCTGGCCTGGCACCATTTTGGGGTGCACCGTTTGCATTGTGCCGTGAGGCCAAAGTCGATGGGACGCTGTATCTACGCGGAGGGTGACGACGGGAAAGTACTGCAGGCATGGCAGCCTTTTTGCGACATGTTTTCAAGCTGAATGTCCATTGTCCTGCACGCGCCCTGCACAGCTGAAAAGCAGGTCCTCAGTTCCACTCAACACGTGTCCGTTGTGGAGCGCCTTGCTCAGACTCAAGCCTTGGCAAACTGGGTGTGCAGGGGATGCACTTCGCAACAGCAATTCACGCACTTTGCTAACGAATGCTAACGTTCCTTCTGAAGAAAACGTGCCGTGATTTGCTTGCAGTTGTTGAGGCTCGGACGTTGGAGTCCTGTGCAGATCCTGGACATCGCCAGTCTCTCAACTCTACCTCAGTCCAGCATCGCACCTGCTCTCTACTTTTTAGAGTAGCGATACATAGCTCGCTTCCTCAGTCTTGGGGCTCTTTGTGTGGACATTGAGTGCAACGCATTCGTTGCTGCCGATGTTGACGTCATATTCCAGAGCCAATCCACCCCAAGAGTTTGAGCAAGATTCGCTGGAAACAGATCTCTTGGTGTGTGTTGAAGCCGGAAGTTGAGCCCCGGTCGTAGCACATCATGTGGAGGGTCCTGCGAACAGGTAGCGAAAACGCGCAGCAGCCGGGGTAACAGGCAATCGTTTGCTTGCCGTTTAGTGCCTTGGCGACGTGCAGGCCTGTGCTGGGCACGCCTGCTCTTGCAGGCCGAAGTATCACGCACTTATCGACTCTGGCGCTTTAGTCGGGCACCCCAGGATTGCTTTCTCCCGAGCGAGTCTTTTTCTGCTTATCTTTCATAAACCTCATAGTTTCTAAACCTCATGGTTTCCATGATTTTCATGGTCATCACAGAGGTCGTATGCGGCAGACTCGTTTCAGTGAAGCCTGCGACCTCTATGCACAGGATGTTAAACTCCGACATTCATGTTTAAGGCTTCAGGTGCGGCACCAGATCAGCCCGCCACTGGGCGAAGTGAAAACTGCCAAAGCCTAGTCAAGCATCACTCACATCAGATGCAAGAGTTGCGGCTGAAGCGCTGTCTGCAAGCACGACCAGGAACAAAGCATGTTGCAACCGCCCCTGCTTCTACCAGAGTCTACCATAAGTCGCCTCATATAGGTCACGGGCATGACGAATCGAGAAGTTGCCGAGCAGCTACCTCAGTTGAAATCGTGAAGCTGGGGCGATTCATGGATTCCTGTTCCCGCTGTTAAGCTTCGGATGCAGTGGTTCAGCTGCCTGATCTTGTCGTCTTGCAGCGCTCTCTTGCAAACGTCCGTTCTGATGCAAAGCATGGCCAGGGCCTCACCAGATGAGGTATCTTCTCGAAAATGGTCTCGAAGGTCTTGATGGAGTTCTCTTCCTGGATGAGCGGGACGAGAGGGTGGGCAAGTCAGAGACTTCGCCATACAGTCATCGCTGGTTCAGTAGCCAAGCGCAGCCGTTCGGGACTGCCAGCCTTTCATAGCGGCCGTTCCGATCTTGCGCAGGTCGTGTTGGAACGTGACAGTCGACGCGTGGTGGAGCTGGTCCGGACCTCTCTGAGACAGCTGTGCCTCCATGTGTTCGGCCATTTTGAATCAAATCTCGTGCAGTGTCGCTGCAAGTCTGGACTTCAGAATAGATTAATAAATCGTCCGTTCACAACTCCATGTGGTGGTTGATGCTGTGCCAATTCACAAGCGAAACACTCTGACGTCTCGTCTTGGATACAGCTGTCCTGCTACAGTTTGAACATACGCAATTCTCAGAGCCATAAGGCCGCGTTGCTTTGCGCGCCGTCATCCAGCCTTGCTTGAGAGAACAGTAATAGTAATCTTTGAAAGGTTTTAGGACCCTGCCTGTTCTCCCCAGTAGAGGGCAAGCCTGTTTCGAGGCCCAGTCTATCAATGTCTGGTAAGCCGCGAGGGCATTGTAGTGCATTGCACTGCATTGCATGAGAGCCATGGGCGCTTGCGCTGCCTGCTTCCGCCCGGCACGGCACCAGGTACCCAAAGCAACCTTCGCAAAGGCCAAGGTGGGGCTTTGTAGTTTGCCGTTTGCTGCGCAGAAGTAGGCCGGCTCGTATTTCGCAGCTTTGAGCTAGCTGCACTTACTTATGGTTGTATGTTCTGTTCCATGCCAACTTAATCGGTGGCGTTCTTACGCCTCAAGGTGGATCTGGTGAAGGCCTGCCGAAACATGATCGACTTTCTCAAGGAGGTTGACACTCTGACTAACAAGCCAGTGTAGCCCGAGGCCACGCCTTCGTGGGTCCTGGCTAGCTCCAAGTACTGTCGATGTTCGTGCTGGCACATGCTGCCCGATCCGTTTGCATGGTGGTCTTTTGTTCTGGGCATTCGTGCTGAAAGATGGGGTTCCGCAGTCTGTACGACCCTCCCTGTCGAACACACAGCCTGCATTGATGTGTCTTCGTGAACCACGGCAAAGCCACCAAGCGCACAACGCGCAGCATTCACAAAGCATTTCTGGGCCGACTAAGGACAAGTATCCCTGCCTGTATGCGAACCAGCAGGTGCCACTGCCGACACATCTCGCAAGCCGAACTGAGTGAGTTTTCCCCCCCATACAGTAATGCAGACAAACAGAAAGATGGCAGAGTAACATAAGACACCACGTTACTTCACAAACGTGATATCTGAAGCCTATATGTATAAATGTGCATGCCGAATCTACATGTACATACACATACATACACATACTTGCACAACATACTTACACATGCATATGCACTTACGCATGCATGCATACGTACGTACATACATGCGCGCATGCATGCAGACATATGCATATAGGTACTGTTTAATATGCGAGAATGGGAGCAGTAGACTAGAGCCCCTTCCTAGACAAGGGGCATAGGCTTACCACTGAGGTGCTTCGACAGGCAGTCCAGCGCTACGAGGATATATGGCTGCCACTTCTGGCCAAGAAGGATCCTCAAGCACGGCTAGTGCCACCCCTCGATGTGGAGTGGGTCTGGCACTGTCACATGCTCCTCGGACGAAACCCTTGGCTTTGTTTCAGAGGTCCGGTGTCTACGTGCAGTTCTGGGAGCGGAAGCTTGAGCTGCAGCACTGAGGCTATGCCCAAAGGCCTACCGGGAGGATGCTATGAACATAACCGGCCTCTCAGAACCACGGCTTGAAAGCGTTGGACTGTATGTATTTGGGCTTCTGTAGTGAATGCCGTACCTCTGTTCACCCGACTATGCGTAAAGGGCGAAGACAAGCTTGCAGAGCCACGACGTAAATTTGATCCTTGAATCAGTTGCAAGCTAGTTAGCTCATTGAACACCAACCCCGTGTGCTGAACACTGGCGTCCGGTCGATCAGGAACCACCCGATCATGAATTGATGCCACGGACGGGCAAGGAGCCAGCTTCTGTCATTCTCAAAGTAAGGCAGATCTTGTCATACGATCACGGGCCCAAAAGCCTTCACTTCGAATGTTTTCAGCCTTCGTCAGCCTTCGTTTTCTGATGCGAAGCCTAAAGCTAGATGCGAGGTGCAGGAGGATCTCCTCGGGAAGGGCAGCTGAAGTAAAGCCCCACCCCTACTGTAGCTCCAAGTTTCGAGTCTCGAAGCTGCAGGAGTTCACGTCCGCTCAGTCCCTAACGAGCAAGCTGTGGGAGAAGGCCGAAAGCCTTTTGCTGGGAAACTTGAGGTTTTGAACAACCGCAAATTCAAGTTCCTCGGCCCATGTGTCTCAGTAATCAGCAAAAGGAGCGAATCTCTTGTGACGAAGCAATCCGCAGGCTGGAGGCGGGAACTACGATATCACGGCGGCACTGCAAAACGCGCCGCTTCAGGCTAACTACGAGGGCAATGCATCTTGGCGTTATGTGAGCTTTCGGTTCCATGTCTCGAGGTTGCAGCGGTTGTGTCAGCTTAGCCTGATTTCGGTAGTTAGCAGCCTCAGTATCGTCTTTCACTGTTCAGAATTCCTCCGGCGGCAGACACCTTGCAGAAGACAGCTTCATCTGTTTTCGTAGTGACATCCTAGACGGTCCTAGAATGTCCTAGACCACATACAGTTCCTTAGACAACCCTGGTTTCACAGTCTTACGATCTTAGTGTAAGCTTTTGCCTTAAGTAAAGCCAGGGTCGTAATTCCTTGCGTGGCCCGTGTTGTACGAGTTCCGAGGTTCGCTTGATCTGATGTTTGCCTCGTAATTTGCAACTTTAAGTAGTTGCACCTGGATTCAAAATCTTGCTGTGGGGACAATGTAACGCTGGGACTTCCTCCTTGAATACTTTGTTGTGTGCTCTCGTTGTCTGAGTTGCTGCTGTGTGGCGGTCTGGACATTGTGCCGCTCCGTCATGCTTAACCTCTGTGTCGCACAACGCAGCATCGTCTCTTGAAGTTCGCCCAGGCCAGTTGCAAGAGCAAGTACGACATCGTGGCAGCAGCTGAGAGGCTCCAACGTTGTCGTTCTTCCTGCGCATGTTGTCCCACTGCCGCAGGTACTGCCGAAACCGGGTTGCACACACGGTAGCAGGTAAGGTAGGCGGCTCACAGAGTCACATCCAAAGCTTCAAGACACAGGAACTGCACATCCGAACCCAGCTTTGCAGCCATGGCTGGGTTGCGGTTGTGCTTGTATGCACAGGCAGATGGCCTTCTACTACCAGGCGGCCTTGAGCCAGACTTGTTTGACGCTCAAAGCTTTGTGACTCCGTCGGCGTGGAGGTACTTAGCTTTCTGCAGCCAGACGGACTACTCCTGCCCGGGGAAGTTTGACTTCTGTCGAGTTGAGTTTGGCTCAGCAGACTCAGAAAAAGATCCAACATGGCAACGATTCCCGAGACACTCTGAAAACTCACCTCAGTGCAAGCATACCACGAATCTCGTTGTTCCTTGCCTTAGGCAACAACTTCTTTGATGTCAGTCTACGGATTTTTTACTTGTGTTTTGCATGTGTATGTCGAATATATACAATATACACACGTATATATATATATATATAATTAGATTACACACACATAGAACAGTACACTACTAGATGTATTATGGTACTCATATTGCATTGTCCTTTGTCATAGTGGGAACTACGCATCACTGACAAGAGCTGCAGCACAGCGGGACAAACACCCTGAACCCCAAATTACTTAGTGTTACGCCGACCTGCACCAGATACAGTAGACCTCGCCTGGGTTGTCCGAGGTGCGAGAGCTTTAATCCCAAATCAAGCCCTAAACCCTATTGTGCCTATAGTGACTTGTGAGGTGGCGGTGATGCCTCACTATCGTGACCAGTACTTCTTGGAGCTGGCTGTCGAGAGAACCTCTTGGATGCAATTCAAGCGTCCTCGTTGATCAACTCGACTGACGACTCCTGTTGAGATTTTTCATCCTGTCACTAAACATGCTCGGCTCCCCAAACCATATCGGGTCTCTACACCTGGGCTGAACGGAGCCTGAGTGTCCTGTTCAGCCGCTCTGCGGTATGGGGCAAGGTTGTACATGTGAAGCTCCTCAGGATATTTGGACAGGTTCCTGGAGCTGAAGCGACGGCGGCCAAAGGCCTCCTGGCATGATGTCGTATGTCGTATGGTTGGGTTCCATGGTGAGAGGTGGCTCAGATTCTGCACTTCCGCTCATCAGTTTTGGGTTAATATAAATCTCGGCCTGGAGAGCCAACAGACGCCCCCATGAAATCCCAAGACCGCTTCAGCTGTGCAGAGTTGTCACAGTGTGTCGCATCGAGGAATTCTCAGCAGCTCGTGGGGACGGATGTTGACCACTGTCTTGTACGGCTATCCCACAATGGCATGATATTTACAAGTCAGTCTCGAGCATCTTACGGCAGCTGGTCCGGCACCAAGGATTTCTGGGTTCCCACCTATGACGTTGACTGTGTGTGGCACGCTCACCAGCTACACCCTCATAACTACCAGGAGGAGTGCTGGGACAGTGACATGAATTTGGCGGGAGGGCACAGCAACACGGCTGAGCCATGTGGTAAGAGAATGCGGGTATCCTTTGCGTCGCATGCCCAGAACGGGCACAAAATGCGAGAAGCACGTGCGCGTACTTCAAGCGATCGTGCTCAGAGGAGACCACGCGACTGTGTGGGGCCATGCTGCCGCATGACGACAGCTGCTCTGCTAAAATTGCTTTGTGCAGGCTGACAGGAGCGGCTCCTAACTGTTCCGAAGGGTGATGGCGCAGTGAGTGATGCGCGGTGCTGCACCGTTGTGTTCTTTGCGGCCTACGGATTTGTCGTGAAGTCATGTCCTTCGAAGGCTTGTTTATTCCTCAACACAGTCCATCGGCCCTTGAGGCAACTCTACGGTTATACAGTCCGCAAACGATTGCCGCTAGGTGTCAACGACAGATCGGAAGGCTCTCGCCTCAACAACCGCTGGGAGGACAGTAAGTCCGGGGTTGGACTATAACTATGTGGACATTCGTGCCGTGAACCATGTGCAAACACGAGCCGGATGGCACGAATTGGTTGGTCTAAGTCAGGCAGTCCCAAGTCTATGAAGTCCATAACCTCCTTATAGACTTTGCATCCAGTGCAAGGAGACGAAGGCTGCCTGGAACCAGGAGTTCCCCAACGACAGTGCCACAACTCCGGGGGGCATGTACCGAGGCCAGGCTTCCTCGTCGGGGCTTCCTGCATTCAGACTCGAAGTTGTGCATCTTGAGTCATCTGACGGATTGAAAATATTGAAAGTAGCAGCTGCTAAACGGCAAGTTTTGCTGTTCAAAGCTTGGTCAGCCATGAAGACCCGAAGCCTTGTCGCTGTGCCGCCCGAAGGCTCGAAGGGAAGGGACTCGCGAGAGAAAAAGCCTTGAGCTAGCCTGTGTGCAGAGGGTTGCTTTAGATCCAGGCTCCGAGCTACAGCTCTTAATTCTCATTGGTAGCGCTGCAGGTTAAAGCTTCTCTGCCATAGGCATAAGCTAGACTTGATGGCTGCGCCTGCCTTCGACGACGACTTGTTCGACTTCCCTTTGGATGGCGCGAGCGTTGAGGAGACAGGCAGCGCCGACAGCGCTGGGCTAGACGACAGTGGCGAGGCTGCTGGCGCGGCTGAAGATGCGGCCGAGGTGAACGAAGGTTCACTTGGCTCCAGTGAACGCCGACGGCGTAAGCGCGGCTCTCGTGGTGGCGCAGCTGCTAAGGACCACAAGTGGAGGTCTGGTGCGGCACCCGCTGCCCCAGAGTTCGATGGTGACGTGGAGCGGAATCCCTACTGCCTGAGGCATTACTGCACAGGAGGAAGCTCTTGAGATGGGTTCGAATAACCAAGGAGTTTTTGCCGCCAAACGAGCAGGCCTTGAGGGCCCTGGAGAAGTTGACCGGTGAAGCCGAGATTGAGTTCGAGGAGGTGCCGGACGACCGATTCGACAAGCCCGACGGCATCACCATCCTCCTGGCCGACCTCGATAAGGCCTTGGCGAGAGAGAAATCTTCAGGCAGGGCGGCGTCATCCGAGAGTGTGAGGCCATAGGACGGATGCAGGGCGAGTCCATCAACGCCTTCATTCGTCGCTTCCGGTTGCTAGAGCGCAAGCTGGCCGACAACAAGGTGCCGGAGTACCCTGAGCAAGCAAGGGTGATAAAGTTGCTGGACGGCCTAAGACTGGACGAGAAGGCTACAGCTGCTGTTTTGCTGGCGGCCGGGAACCGCTACTGCATGAAAGATGTCGTGGAAGCCTTGAGGATTCAATATCCTCCGGGTATGACCATCACAGGTCTACCGCGAGGACTGGCTTCTTTGTCTACGAGAACCTCCAGGTCGGCTCTCGTCCCGTTCCACGACCTCGAACAGTACCAGGAGGAGCTCTAGGTCTTCACGGGCCCCAAGATGGTCGCAGTGGCAGACGGAATGGGACCCTGAGCTCCCGGAACATGCCAACGAGGATGACTGTGACGAGGGCGTCGAGGACCAGGGCGCCGATCTTGAGGAGGACGAGCCCGATGACGCTATCGAGGAGGAGGACGACGAGGAGGAGCTCATCCCCGCTGACGACCAGGCGGCCGATAACGGTGAGATCGAGGTGCCCGACGAAGTGTCCGCGCTCTTGGCGGCGACGGAGGCCCTCACGGTCACTAGTAAAAAGCTAGCTGGTCTCATGCAAGGGCGCGGTTTTTACTCAGATGGCAAGAGCAAAGGCAAGGGCAAGGGCTCGGACAAAAAGGGCAAAGGCAAGGGCACGGGCTCTGGTAAGAGCAAGGGCAAGGCTAAAAGTTCTGGGAAGAGCAAGTCTGGTGGCCGGAAGGGTGCTGGCAAGACTTCGTCCGGAGGCGGCGAGCGTCAACAACGGTTGCAAGGCTCCCTATGTCTTGGATGTGGGGCCTCCGACAATTGGATTCGAGATTGCCCGCACGTGACGCCCTACCAGGCCCAACTCGCCACTGCCGACGTCGAGCTCGATGCAGATGGATCGCCGGTGGTAGCTGTTTCATGGCTGGCTCATGCAGAGCACGTGCCAGAGCCGCAAAATGTCTGCTTTGAGACCTCTCGTCCGCCTTCCGTTCTTTTGAGCACGTGTGAGGATGCCTCTTTCATGATTGCGGATACAGGGTGTCAGCGTCAGGTTGCAGGCAGCTTGTGGCACCAGCAAAGACGGTCAGAAAATCCTTCCTCTTTGTCCTCTTCGGTATGATGAGTCGTGTCGCTTCTCTTTTGGTCCTACTGAGGGTATGCCGAGCAGGGGACGTTACCTCTACCCCACCGGGATTGCAGGAGAAGTTGTCATGATGGGTATATCAGAAGTCGATGCCCCCGCTCCAGGTTTGTTGTCACTCCCCACCATGGAAGCCCTCGGTGCAGTGCCAGATGTCCTTGCAGGAAAGATTTACTTCAAAGCCCTCGACAAGACCACCAGGCTCTATCTCAGCCCTTGCAGACACTTAGCACTGAGAGTAGATGAGTGGCCTGAAGAGAAGTTTGAGTGGCCGGGCGAGTACATGAACATGAGCTTTCCCCGTCCCACCCCGAGAGTGTGAGGCTTCAAGCCATCAGCAATTCGAGGATAGCAGCGCGCCCGCCACATGCCTCCCCGACAGCGCGAACAAGCTCCGCAATGGTTGGCGAACTGGCGCTGGCTGCTGACCCACCTCCAGGAGTTCATCACGACCACTCATCAAGCGGTGCTCTTCTACTCGGCGGCAACGCTGCGACCGAGGTTGAAAGATGCGGTGCTGAAGGAGTTTATGGAACCCTGCTCGGTCGTAACGATGATGGGCACCCAGGCGGCGATGGCGGCCGCGCAGGCGCTCCAGCTGAACTCCGACGCCAAGAACCCGGACAAGTGCGACCACACGGCGGGCAACGGCACTCGCACGTATACGCAGCCGGGGGACAAAGAATCCGCATATGCGACAGCTGCGGTATGCGATGGGCTCTGACGGCCAAGGGCGAGGCGCTCGAAGCAGTGCCGAAGGCATCCCCGAGCTCCAAAACTCCTTCGGGACTGACGGACGCTCAGAAGAAGAAGATCGCCCAGGCCAAAGGAAAATCCACAGCAAAGGCGACAGCGAGGCCGGCCGTTCCAGAAAGCGGAGATCTTTTGGACGGGTCGTGGTCGCGCTTATCAGCCTCCTCGCGGGCGCAATCACTGGCCAAGGCTCCACCACCTTCGCCGACGTCGAGCTGGGAGCGTCCGACTCAGAGACCGAGTATGTTCAAGATGTTTGGCCAGGGACTGCGACCGCGGCAATGGCACAGCAATCGGTCCAGCGCCGGCTCGGACACCGACATGAGCATGACCTCGCAACGACCTCGACGACTCGGACCTCCCCGGCAGCAGGCCCGCCAGCAGGAGGAACTCGAAGAGTACACGCCGGAGGAGCTGGACGCGATCTTGATGAGTCAAGCCGACGATCCCAACATGTGGGAGGAACGCATGAACAGGGGCGATTGGGACACGGACATGTTCCACGAGATGCCGAGCAACATGCGCAGGGACTTCGAGGAGCAGGGTTATTTTTAGATCCCGGAGGTGATCTGTGTGGATGATCCTCTCGGCGACGAAGATCGCGAGTGCTTCTCACTGAAGCCTGGACCCGGAAGCGCCTGTCAGGTTCAACCAGGGCTTTGTGGGAAGCGTGGCGGTTAGAGGCCTCAATCTACGAGAACCGCACTTTGCAAAGCCGGCGAATGAGGCGCCACCAGGCCGATCTCATCGAGCTGGGCCCGAGAAGTTATGACATCTCCGAGAAGGCACTCCAGGCCGGACTTCGAGTGTTGGAACCACTCGATACAGGCAAGGACGTGAGCCACAGCATTGAGACCGCCCTGCTGAAAAGGAGACCGTATGCCTTGGTGTGGCAGCCTGATCCTCATCTACTACCACGGGAACGGCAGACATGGATGAGACTGGTCCGAAAAGGGCTCCAAGAGGGACTCAATGTCATCCTAAGAGCTGGCCGGGACGATCCTTGGTGGAACAGTCAGGAAGCTAACGAGCTTCAGTCGCTGAATGGATGTCATTTCATTGAGGTGGGCGACTACGTCTACTCGACCGAGATTCTCGAGGAGTTGACCGAGCTCCCCAGCCAGGACGAGGAGACCTACCACGCCGCCTTGATTCGCGGACTTCAAGGAGCCCTACACCGTGAAGGAAACGAGAGGTGGAACCAAAACTGGAACGTAGATTCCAGCCTTCCGGGTGACCCTACGCCCTGGGTGCACGACTTCCACTACCAGCCTCAACAAGAGACCGAACGGGAGCCACCCGGTGAAACCAGAGCGGAGATCTACTTTCTCGACATCACTCGGCACGAGGAGTCATGGAAGCCACTGCTCGATGAAGCAGAGGATCGACTTAAGAATATGACGACCAGCGCGGTGACCCTCAAGCCATCTCCGTTCTATGAAAGGGTGAAAGCCCTGGTGCCCTGGAAGCTGCAGCGTGTGCAAATCTTCAGAGCACCGAAGCAAAGAAGGCTCCCTCTCGAGGTCTCGCAAGAGGGCACTCAACATCGAGGGGCAGCTCTCCTCTACAACGACGGCTCCATCGGCCTCGAGGCAGAGAAGATCAGCGCGATCATCGAGGCCCTCACCAGCAGGTACGCTAAACCCGTGGGGATTGCCATTTACTTTTATGGCGATGCGCCGGCCACCAGCCTCAATGACAAAGACGACAACCTCCCGGAACCAGCTAAGGTGCGAGAGACTCCCAAGGATGCCGACAGCAACGACCAGATGTACCCCAACCAGCTACAGGGACATCTCCTTCCCGGGGATCGAGTTGCCCAAGTTCATGCAGCAGGTGCTGAAGCGGTTGCACTGCAACTTGGGACATCCTCCTAAGGAGACCCTGGTTCGGCATTTGGCCACAGCAAGAGCCACAGAGCTGGCTCTCAAGGGTGCGAGACATCTTCGTTGTGAAGTCTGCTTGAGGGTCAGCCCTCCACACCAACCAAGGGTGACCAAAGCCTTTCAAGCACGTCGCTTCAATGACCGCATGTGCATGGACATCATCTACCTCAAGGACATCCGCGGCGGGACCCACATGTTTCTGAACTGCGTGGACGATGCCACCTGCTATCAAGCAGCCTCAAGGTTGATGTCTCGATCGAGGAGAATGTGGTCTCCAACCTGGTGAACGGATCGTTTTGCTACTTCGGGCCACCAGATGAGCTGGCAGTGGACGCAGAGGGAGCCTTTCGCGGCATGCGCTTCGAAGCCCTGAATGCCCAAATGAATGTGGACGTCAGGTGCATACCCCGGATGCCCACTACCAGCTGGGCAAGGCGGAGCGGCATGGGCAAGCTCTCCGCTACAACGCCAGCCGGCTCATCAATCAGTTCGCGGCCCTCTCCGTCCAAGAGGTCAACGTTTGTGTGGTGGCCGCGGTACAGGCCAAAAACCGGCTGATGCGTCAGAGCGCCTCATGCAGATCGAGTGCATCAGAACTCAAGCCATGAAGAATCATCATGAGTATGAAGCCAGTCAGGCGTTGAGGGGGGCCCTTCTTCGAAAAAGCCGCCCTTACCGGGGCGCCTTCTATCCCGGTCAGAAGGTGTCTTATTACCGCAAGCGCACTACTACGGGCGATGGCGAAGGATCCATTGAAGGTTATCGACAGGGTGTTGTATTGTCGATGGATCGCAACCCCAGCTCCAACATCATCGCCAACCTCTGGATACGCAATTCCCGCGGCCGCCTTGTGCAGTGCGCCCCCGAACAAGTTCGTCCTACCTTTGGCGAAGCAGAATGGTGGACGCCCGACCCAGAGGACCTGGAGGTCTTAAGAAAGTCGGACAAGGAGTTGCAGATTCACCCTCGGGCGTTTCGCCCGGTTGACCGTCCAGGTCCTGAAGCAGATCGCCGGGTACAGCAAGACTTGGACGAGACCTTCGACAAGGTCGGAGGTCCCTCTCCTGAGGAACCGTTACAAGCTCAGCCGGGCACCCCCGTCGCCCGTCGCAACCGAGGCCGAGTTGGCTCCCAGACCGTCGCCGTTGACTTTGGACCCAGCAGGACGGCCCATGTTGGAATCGCCGATGTTTAGCCCGCTGATGTTTATACCGCTGACTCCCAGGTCTGCGCCCGGAACTCCGAGGACGAGAGCGAGATCAAGATCCATGCCCCGAGCCGGACGAGATCCCGCTGAAGCTGATGCATTACCCGAACAGGATTCAAAATCGTCAAACCCTGCGCGTCCTGGAGGTCCTCCTTCAGATTATGGAGGATCAAATGTTCGTCGAATCCCGTCCAGATCAGACCGGACGAATTTACCCGGACAGGATTCATCGTCAAACCGTGCACTTCCTGGTCCTTCCGGCGAAAGCCGTAGAATTTCTGTCGACTCAGTCAGGGGCCTTTCGCGTCAAGTGTCATCACAACAGGGTCGCATGGAGGCGATAGCTGAAGCCGAATCAGGGGTACGAAAAGGGTCCCAAGTGTTGCCATTGGCGAATTGGATGGAGCCCCTTCATCGCGGAAACCTTTGCAGGCAGCACCCAATTCGTCAATGGGTCCCGAACCTTCCCAAGCCGAGCCAGAGCCAGGCGTTTTACTTTTGTTTTGCAAGGGCTGCGGCGAGCAGTACCAGAATTTTCCTCGAGCGTGTGATCGATGTGGTGGAAGTCAGTCTGTGGCAACCCCCGAGGACGTGGTCTCCTGGTTGGATGAAGTCAAGGAGCGAGAAGCCTTTGACAGATTTTTAGGCCCTGCTCCAGGACACATTGCTTCCCAGCCCTCTGCTCACGACCCTCAGCACCAGGATGCGATCGCCTACTACCAGCCGCTCACGACATCCACCACCACACATTTTACTTCGCGAAGCGAGCCTCCAAGCTATCTTCATCGCTTGGACATTTTGAGGAGGCATGCCAGAGGACAACATCTGAGGCACGGATGGGACGGAACTCCCAACGAGGTGCAGCCTGCCTTCTACCGGGAGGCCTTCCTCACCACGGCCCATGTCTTTGGCAACGCAGCTGAGCCTGAAGGTGTACCAGATCCGCTGCCGGAGCCCACTCAGGATACACTCATGACGAGCACGACCAAGACCTCATCGACTACTGCCCGGAGAGACTTACCCAGCCTCTCAGAACAACTGGCGAAGCTGCTGAGACAGAGAAAGGACTTCGAGCACGAGACGTGCACGCAGCTGCTTCAGATCGTGGACTTTCGCGCCACGGATCGACGTTGTCTGTTCCGAAGCCGAGCCGATGCGGGCTCCCTCACGCTGGGGTACTACAGCCACGGCAACCGCCACGGCATCACGACAGCCACTGCCAAGTTAACACAGGCTACTTACCAGATACCTCAACGACTATCTCCGTCATCACGGAATGAGAGGCTCTGTGAGCAGCCTGTTCATCGGGAGAAATTTGGTCAGTCGCTGCCACCGGGATGTGCATAACTCCAAGGGCACGAGCAACTGGCACATCTCTCTCGGCGACCACGTTGGAGGTCGTTTCTGGACGCAGCAGCAGCTCGACCAAGCCGAAGGAGGCCCGGTCGTGCGGAAGCGACTACATGGCCGCCTACTCGAAGGCCACCTCTACGACACCCACCACCAGCTAGTCTCCTTCAACCCGGACGTGCACCATGGCTCCGAGGACTTTGTGGGCGAGAAGTTCACGATTACGGCCTACCAGACCAGGCTCGTGGATCGAGCTCCGGAGGATCACCGAGCGGACCTCAAGGCCTACAACCGAGCTGTGAACTTCCACGTGGACTCCACGAGCGCTACTACCCGGCCGCATACTATGACGACACAGCCCACGTGGGAGGCCTTTCCGTTTAAGCCCAAAACGTCCGCGGAGGGCGAGGTCGAGCAGACGATTGCCATGGAGTCTTCATCTGACGAGGAGGGCGGCGATGGTACGGGCAAGTTTGAAACTCGCCGAGCGCAATGCAAGCCCGCAAGAAGGAGGTTCACTGGCAGTCCATGACGGACGAGGAGGTTGAGCCCTTCAAGGAGGCCCTGATCAAGGAGTGGAGCGAATGGCAGCGTTGGGCAAGCTGCCGACCGGTGTATGTCAAGGGCAGGTAGCATCGCATTTGATTTTGAAATCACGCATCTGCTATAGATGGAAACCGATTCCCGATGGCCAAAAGGCAAAGGCCAGAATCGTAGTCGCGGGGTTCCGCGACCCGCATCTACCGATGCTAACCCGCGACGCCCCTGTCTTGGCCAGATCGTCACTACATCTACTGCTACAATGGTCTTGCTGCTTTCGGGTCACCCTTTGGAACGCTGACGCGAAATCAGCGTTTCTCCAAGGAGAACCTGATAAAGAACGTCCCGAGGCCATCTTCATGAAGCCGCCCCAGGACCCAGTTGCTCAGTCAGCCGTTCCGCTATGGCAATGTCGAGAACTGTTGTACCGTCTCAGTGCACCAGTTTACGGCCAGAGCAACGCACCGAGGCAGTGGTACAACCACTTTGCCAAGACCCTGAGGTCAATGAACTGGAGCTCCCACAGCCTCGACCCTTGCCTCTTTCTGTACCGTGTCGACGGCAAGGTGGTGGCCATTCTGGGAGTTCATGTCGACGACATCTTGTGTGGTGCCCTGTCAGGACATGAGGAGGTGCTCAACCGCGTGGAAGCGCGTTTTACTTGGGGCGCTCCGTGGGTGCACACCGACTTTGTCTTCGTGGGAAGGCGCATTCGACAGCATGAGGACTGGAGCATCAGCATCGACCAGGAGTCTTACGTCGACGAGGTTCCCGTCACCAAGATCAAGATGGCGGACTCCGAGCCCCTCGCGAGCCACCCTGACCTCGTGACGGAGTTCAGATCCGGCATCGGCTCGCTCCAGTGGCTGGCTGGCACCACGAGAGGCGACATAGCAGCGGACACTAGCCTAGTCCAGAAGCCCCCCGCGCAGCTGACCGTGACGGACCTGAAGGAGGTCAACGCCATCCTCCGCTATGTCCGCGCCACCGCCCAGGCCACGGTTCAGTTCGTGCACATCGACGTGGGGAAGCTACTCTTCGTGGCGTACGGCGACTCCGGTTTTGCGAACGCACCCAACAATAAGTCGCAAGGCGGGTTGGTGATAGTGGCGACCGATAAGGAAGCCCTGCAGCACGAAAGGCCGGCTTCCTTGTTGGAGTGGAAGAGCTACCGGCATCAACGAGTGCTGAGGAGCACCCTCGCCGCTGAGGCCGCGGCATTGGACCGCACTCACGACACGGCCAACTTTATGGCCATGGTCTTCAGCGAGATGTGTGAGGCCTCCTATGTGGCGACCATGAACAGCCGCCCGCTCTTCCAGGTGGTCCCGGTCACGGACGCGAGGTCGCTTTGGGACTCCGTTCACCGCCTCACCACCACCTTCGCAGAGAAAAGAGTAGAGCTGGACGTGGCAGCTCTGCGTCAAACATGCAGAGGTCTGAGATGGGTGCCGTCTGAACAGATGAAGGCTGACGCTGTGACCAAACGGTCCAGAGCGCTGCGTGATGCTTTTCGCTTGTGGATGGGTCAGCCCTCTGTCCGACTTACGGATAGCAAAGCGCCATCCGACATGAAGGAAGGCCACACGGCAAACCAGGCTTGGCGCTAACACGGGTCTTCAGGCTGAAGAAAATAAGACTGATGCTAAACGGCAAGTTTTGCTGTTCAAAGCTTGGTCAGCCATGAAGACCCGAAGCCTTGTCGCTGTGCCGCCCGAAGGCTCGAAGGGAAGGGACTCGCGAGAGAAAAAGCCTTGAGCTAGCCTGTGTGCAGAGGGTTGCTTTAGATCCAGGCTCCGAGCTACAGCTTTTAATTCTCAGCAGCAACCTACTGGAAAGACTGATTCTGACACCGTCAGTGGCATGTTTTCGGTGGTACTTCTTATGGTCCCAACCGCAGTAGCAGTGCCAAGCTTCGAGGCTTGCTTGACCGTGTCATGCCAGGCTCAGTGAGCGTGTTATGCTGTGTATGGCATAGTGAAACGTGCTAGGGTTTGCTAACAGCATAGCCGAGCCGCGGACAGAATCGAAGCCGTAGAGACAGACCCAACCTCACCCGACAGCGCCGGACAGGCCTCGTGACCATTGCAGAGAGGCAATACCGAGAGCAACAATGGAGCTTGCTTCGCACAAATGTGGCTTCGGCGAGATTGCGAAAGTCTTTGCTGTGCTGTTCAGTGCGTTCCCGAGTCCTGACGCTTTCTGCGAAGACATGTCTTCCGGTTTAATTAACCGCTCCGATTTTTTTCTGTTGCTGTAAAGCTGTGTTGTTTTAAAGCTCTGAGTGCTCCTGGTGCCTTCACGGGTTCCCATCGCTCGGTACGGGTGCCACGGAATCGTTGGTCTCGGGCCGGATGCTGGCTTATGGCTTCTATGGGACTATGGGAGTTGATGGAAGCGTAGACAGCCTGAAGACACTGAACTTCGCCCAGAAATGCCGAGTGTGAATGTCTAGTTTTGGCTCCTTGGTGTTTTTCTTGCTGCCTTGGCTGGAGGGGAATGTATTCGAGCGGGCTGGGGCGTTACACAGACAGTTTGGCGCAAGCTGCAGCGATAGATTTCATCCGTCCTCTCCACAGACACCTGCAACGAATGGTCCACCATTTGCCAGGGAGCTGCGGCTCAGAACATCACCCTGGAGGCGCCATGGGGCGTCACGAACGGACCTGAGGCCCGTCACTTAGAGGGGCCTTGGGGCGTGCAGTGTGAGGTATTGTTGTGCAGTTTCTTGGTGTTTTGCTGGATCTTGGAGTTTCAGGATAGCAGCGCCGTTTGATAACCCACTCCTGTCACATCCGCACCCCTGAAACCGCCGCCGGTTCGCGCCCAACCAGTCCCAACGTCAACCGAGACCGCTCAATCTGTGATCGCGCCCGCTATTTCCTAGACCTATTGGGATAACATGGCACAACATGACCCAGCAGATCCATATCAAACTGTCCAGAGCACTTTGCCCCAACCGTTTTGTTCAGAGCAGTTGAGCGCACAGAGGCTGCGAGCCAAATCCTGCTCAGAGTGGGCCATCTTTTGTGAAAGGACGCAAGTAAGACGTAAGTATTTAAGACCAGAATGAGGGGGTTCAGGCCAGAAAACCAGCTAGTGTTGCCATTCAGCCACATGTTTCATCCAAGTTGTCACTTGCATACGAAACTTTGCCGCGTCGCCCAAGCTTGGATGGTGCACAGAACCCAGTTCAGTCAGACATTCTCGCCCCAAGGCTGGGATACCCTGGGTGCATCGCAAGGACTGTTGTTTGCTTGTTCAGGGATGGGCGCAATGGGCATCGAAATACGGCTTTGGCTTTGCTTATCTTCGGAACCTTTTTTCCAGCTACCGTGCTGCCAAGAAGCCTGAACTGCGCACGGCACGTTGTTGTCCACTCCTGTGTGCCTTCAAGAATGCCTTGCACTGGCTTGTAGAAAGCGACTAGACGCCAGGGCATGTGCACAGGAGTGATTGTGAAGTCAGCTAATCCGCTTTCGAATCGAGCCCGCCGAGTCGAGAACGCCACGGCCTCGTGTCGAAAACCAGGGAGACCCTGAGTCGAAAACATCTGCCGACACCCCCTCCGGGGTTTAGGGTCTATAGGCTTTAGGGTTTAAGGTTTAGGTTTTAGGGTTTAGGGCCGGCTGCTTGCAAGAGCCCTGGATGCAAAAGGGTTTAGGGCCTCTGTGTTGTTGACTCGCTAGCCCTGCTCTCCGACACGTGCAGCCTTCGTTTTCCGACTCAGGCCTCTCACTTTCTGACTCGGTCCCCTAGGTTTTCTGAATTGGTCTCTACCGTTTTCGACTCCATTTTCTGAGTAGGGCGTCACCCATGTGCACAGCAGCCTCCTGCTCAAAAAGTCACTGCAGATGCCCTTGGGGTGATTCATGGTGATTCACGGCCACGGACTTTTGTTGCGTAGGACGCAGCTGGCGGACTCTACGGCCTCCGGCGATTCTCGTGCCCGGGCCATCATTGGTCAGCAGAGCCCGGCTCAATGCCGTAATCTCTGCTCTGAGACAACCGGAGCCAGACAAAGCTTCGGTGACCAGGAAGCTTGGGGACCTCTGCGCTCAAGTAGTTCACGGCCGGGCCCAACAACAGCCCTGACCTCAGCATCTTAGCCTTCTGAAACCATCAGTTCCGAAGAAGCTCAGAGCTAATGCAGTTTGGACAGCACCAACTCCACAGACACTCCCACTGCCATGACGCTCAAGCTCACTTTCCAGGAGTTTCAGCTACCTGGAGGCGAGAGGGTGCAACCAGGGAGCGTCGGATATATTCTGATGACCCTGTCGGGTCTACATTGATCCCGCAGTTGATGCCCAATCAAATAGAAGGCTGCCAATGTAGGCAATTTAGGAGCAGTCAAAGCGTGTGGAAAAGCAGTAGAGTAGAGTCAGTAGAGCGAAGACAGGGACATTCTAGTTTCTTGGGAATTTGTGAAATTTGAGTGCAAATTGTCTCAGTTGCTGCTCAGGTGACGGTGCACATAGCGTGCGCCGACTTCGGGCCTCAACCCATAATCATTGTAATCTTCAGCCTCACATATATATATATATATATATATATGACCCGTATTAGCCAACGCTGCATTACTAGGAACTCTCTGCCTGCTCCCTCACGCCGGCCGGTGTTTGATGTTCGCGGGAAGATGCCCGCGGGATTTCAGGTAAATACGATTCGAATCTGAACTTACCGAATCAACCAACACCCATGGCAAGCTATGACCCAGAGCCTTCGCACCTAACAGGTGGTGGCGAACGCTGAAAAGTCTGTGCCCCTCGTGACTGCGCATGCCGTGGAGTCAGATCAGCTGCCAGGCCGCCGATTCGGACGAGAGTTATCGTTGATGTTGTTGCTTGGTATGGTGCAAGTGTTGAGATTGCCATTGACACACGCTTGTTGCTTGCTATGCCATCCGTCAAATCTGCTCGCAGCATCCCTCCCATGTCCTACGTCGTCCTACGTGCTCTTGCTAACGATCGGGCATTGCGAACCTGGAGCCCGCAGCAGACGAGCAACCGTGCGACGGTGCCAAGCGAAGAAACCCTGAAGCCTTCTAAACGACCGAATGCATAGGACGCATGTTTGACATCCTGCCAACACCGGAGAACCTTCGTGCTTGAAGCATCTTTTTCCTCTAGGCTTCATGCTCTAGCGAGAAGTCGGAATCGGCTACAATGGGGATGTTGACTAAAGTTTCCCGCTGGCCTCATCCGCATTTAGGACTTGAGGCCACCCGCACTGACTTGCTGAGACAGGTGAGGGGCAGCTGAGCTATAGATCCAAGTGTCCCACACTGAAGCATGGCTGGCAGTGAAATTGTAACACATACTTGGGAGGTTGGGGATTGGCCACGTGGTTAGCCTTTGTGAAGACTCGGGCACCATGGCCGGTTGTTGCTTGCCCTTTCGGAATTTCAAACGCTTTTTTTTGCTCAACCTTGCACTGCCACTTCCTGAGAGCCTGTGACTCGTGGCTCAGGAAGGCGGGACAGATGGCATACCTTCTCCGCGTGGCGGGCGAAGACGTGGCTGTGGTAGTGGGCGAGTGGGTAGCCTGGCCATGGCTCAAGGGTCGGGGAATCAGGGATCGATGTCAAGGAAATTTCCCGGCGTACATGAAACTTTTCCCGACTAGATGTCAAGCAACAGTTGCAACGAAGCCAGATAGGTCGAGCACTGATGTCGCATTCGATCCCAAGAAGGAACCGTAGAAAAGAGCGCCTGTCCACCCACCAGTGTCGTCGGATTCCGCGAATCAGATTCGCAGAGGCAAGTACAGGCAAGGCAGAGCAATTTCAAGTTCTTTGCTTGCATCTGACCATCTTAGAGCCCGAGACTCCTGTAGCACAATTGCCACCCGTTGCACACCTAGTAATCAAGCAATGCCGGCTGTCGGAAACCACCGGCATCCACGCAAATGAGTAACGACACCATACCAGCAAGGGGGTGTGCGCTACGACGTCCAGCCGGATCGCAGCCAACTCATAACTCATAAGACTCATAGCTCCACAACCTCGGAAACTGTGACCAAACACTGCCCCCCTTTCAGGTGGGCTTCCAGCTCCCAGTTCGTGGTGTTCCTGGCACACCCGGCATTTCCGGGGACCGTGGCACTGGTCGTCGAGGCTGGTGCCAGATGCATTCAAAAAGAGCTCCATCACAGGGTAGAACTTAAGGCATCTTCGCCCAAGTTGGGCTCCTTGACTGGTCAAGGGATCTCAGGCATGTCAGAACCCTGCATCTGTGGAAACGCTGCCATCTAAGCAAATGTGCCCAACATCAAGGCCCATGCAGAGCCGACAGAGCTTGTCAACCAAGAATCCAACAGATGAGAAGATTCTTGCACCTGGCTCTAGGCACCAGGAGAGTGCTACTGAGTTTTCTTGTAGTTTCAGCGCTGAGCTGCTGCCTGGATTTTCAAGATCTGACCATGGCTTGGCTTGTCGAGGCGTGGCAGGCACCCGCGGCGTCAAAGGGAAGCCAGGTAAGCCGGGGCAACTGCAGCGACTGGTCTGCGTTTCAGTGAGCACCCAGTTGCCCAGACTTGTCCAAGTGTTTTGCGCTGACAGCCGCCAAGGATCAGGCTCTTCGCACTTCGGACAGCCTCTGAATGCAAGGTGGGCGAGCAGTCAAGTAGTCTGATCTGGGACACAAGGCTCGTGCAACACGGCGGGGCTGAAACAGTTGTAACCACCCTGTATATACTCTTCAAGGTCAGCACTCGTGCCTAGTCATAGAGCTATGGCTGCCAGGTCACCCCCACCTACTTCAAACGAACCGCTCCTGCCATGCCTCCCGGCTCTGACTTTGAAGCTCGCATTTACAGCGCTCCGGGGGAAGCTGAAGAAGCGCCACCACGTACTGCGCATGTGGAGCTGCATGCGTCGAAGAAACCAAATCCTTCACTGCTGGTTTAATTAGAGGTAGCTCCCAGTTTGGACCTGCTCCGAATCCCAGGTATACCACGAACCTTTCGGACCTACACGTACCAGGCTGCACGGAAAACATGGTGGTCGCTTCTTGGGCTGATTCTGCACTGAGAGTCTTAGGGGTGGGTGAGTCTGGAGCCGAACGGCGTTGGATTTGGCATTGTTTGTAACCCGGTCTAAGCCGGATCATCGCTACATGCAAGAAGCCGCCCATCAACTGTCCCAAAACCCTTGGGGCTTCGGCCTGAAAACCGAAATCCTGCGTCTTGGTACCCTGGCCACATCTGGCCATCACGTCATACATTGCCCTGCCCCGACCGGACGGACGGACAGGACGTTTGGATAAGGTACTCCCGACCAGGCACATGCTCTTGCATCAGCTTTGCCTTCCCAAGTGCGCGTTAGCCGCCGTTAGCCAGTATGTATTCGGAGAATCCAATTGTCGCGTTTCCCATCAGGCGGAAGGCAACTCGTAGGCCCGACCTTGAGCTGAGGATGTCGCTACGTCCAGCATTCAAGTCCGTGCTCAAAGTACTCTCCCCATGGCGGTGGCCTATGGCCTCAGTATGTCCATCGCCGCTTTGCGCTGCGGCTGCAGAGTAAGGGCAGGCTTCCCTCTTGAAAGTCCCCTCCGGATGTCCATCTTGACACTACTCTTTGTCACGGTACGTTCAACCGGGTCGGGGTCGACAACTAGTCATCGTGTCAACGTACGTTCAAAGTAGCCTGATGTAGATGTAGAGCACACGGCTGCGACACAAAAAGGCAAGCCTCAAGAGAACTATGTCCATGGGGCACGCAAGATAACGTATCTCACAAAGCAGTCCCACACAGCAATCCACCTCGTATAGGAGCCTCAACAATCGGCGATACTGATTCTGATTTTTAAACTGCCAACGTGTGTGGTGTGATTGCTCTCATGTTAAATTATAGTTCAGCGCCTCGCTAAAGTTTCGGGGGACCATGGCACTCTGCCAAGCGTTTCTCGAAAAGCCTCGGCAGCCATCGCAAGGCATGTGACCCTGCAGCCCCGCATGACACCCTTGGCAACCAGTGGGGCTGTGATGGGCGCAGCTCGGCTGCCCATGCCAAGCAGAAACTGCGTTCGCTTCCGGAGTTGAGCGAAAAGGCGACTTTTTTTGGAAGTTCAATTGATTGGGGTTGACTCGAAAGCTGAGCCTTCAGAGCAACGCTATTGCATGTTGTCTGGACTCCCTTGAATCGATTTGAACCCGGTTCCGTCAACATGTCTCCACTAGGCTTCGAGACTTCTGCTTTGCAGCGGACAGAGATCGGAACGAACTGGTTTGCTTGTTCCCGAGCCTGGAAGGTGGCACCAGGATCCAAGAAGCCACTTCCCGCAAGTCCCGAGGCCTGGACCTTTTCATCCAGTTCCTTTTGCCGTTGCAGCTAATCTGGCTGTTATCCATCTCGACTGGAGCGCAGAGATAGACATGGCTGTCGTTTGGCTCATCCCATAGGTTTAGGGAATGAAGCACTGGAGTCTATGCATGCCGTGGCTTCAAGACCTACCAAAACCATTTCGATTTCAAAAGCTCCGAAGAAATCATGTCGGGCTCTTCCATCGCTACCGATTTTGAGGAAAGCCGAACTGATGTGCGAAAGGTTCCTAGGCCATCGACGAGAACCATTATTCGGTTATTCGTCAACAATACTAGCACCAAGACCAACGACAGTGGGCAACAAACGTGTTGGATGTCTCCGCGCATGTACGACACGTGTGATTGGATTGGGGTATATCGGGGCATGACAAAGCGTGCACATCACTCGTCTTTCGGGGCACTATTTCCTTTGCCCACCTTGCAGCACCATACAGCTGCCGCTTTTGCTAGGGAGGTCTTGATGTGGCTGGTACGGATTGCAGTGTCACGGCAGGCAGGGGTGTCAATGTATCCACCCTGGACCGTCGAGCAACGCAACTTCCCAATGCTTACCGCGGCGGGAGGACGAGCAGGTTTAGTCACTTTGTGTGCATACATCTACCTGCAGGCAATTTAAATAAGGCACGAGAGACACGATGCTTCACGGAACCATGAGCAACTACAAACTACAAAGCCGAAAACTCAAGCTAGGAGGTTGGAAGAGAATCCACCCTTCCACAGCCCGCAGGAGAGATCAGTCCAACGGAAACAGTCGTGGGAGTTCCCCTTGGGAATGATGACGGGTCCGTCCAGAGGGACGATCATGTGCCCGGTCCAATACTGCTCAGGAGTTTCAGGTTTTATGTACTAAGAGTGCGCAATACAGACATACATGGCCAAGAGTCGGCTGCTGTGCAATCATGACAAGCTACTTCGGCTGCTGGGGTTTCATCTTGGGCACGACTCCTGACATATGATCTCATAATTCGTATTATAGATGGGGCCCAAAAGGTGCCTCAACTATATGCAATTTGTGAGCACCCCCCAACCAAGCGCTTTTACTGCACCTTGCGTCGGGTAATTCTTGCGGCACGAAAAGACTGGCACTTCACGGTTGCGGCGAGAAGAGCGAGATGCTGCCCTTCCATCACAGGAGACTAGAAGTATCACCACTGGCTGCTGCATTGATTTTCTCGCGATCTGCGTAGAACCTCGGACAACATGACAGGACTTGAAGTCCCGCGTCTGTCTATGTAATGCCAACTCCGTCCAATGTTTGGACTCCTTAGACTGATAGAATACAGAATAGCTCGCTCCGGTCTGTGCCTGAGGCTTATGCAGACGACGACAGCTACCTCTTCTGGGGAGTGGGAATGCTCTACGTTTCGGATTTTGGCTACGCAGGACACCAGGCAGGCTTTCAGTTGTAGCGAGGGTTCTTCACATGTTTTCTTCGTGGTTTGTCTGAAGCCGACCTTCAATCAACTTGTTGCATGTGGGCAAAGAGGGTATTGCACACTGTATATATACTTATGCGGTTTGCATATGCCCACCGATATGTGTGTATGAAAGATAAGCATATAGGTATACTTGGTATAACAGTAACATGTTTATGTACTTCTTGATTTCACCTGGCTATTGGTGAGTCTACAGAGGAACATGCCATCTGGCTTCTGGTGCTAGTTCTGAGGTGTTTAGTTTGCAGGTGCGACCGACGCCATTTAGTGCAGGGAGTTTTGGAGAATCCCTCGTAACTTCGCTTGTGTTTCCTGTATAGCGTCCTAACGGCGGCCTATGACAGGCTTATCCCGAGTGCCCGGACCAGTATCAGATCCACTATAGAGCTTTCGTCCTAGCCCGCGGCTTTCAAGTTCTTCGCACCACCTTGAAGAGCCAATAGACCCTTCCGTTATACTGCTGGTGGCCACGTCGGGTCAATGCGCGCCCTTTTAACTGGCTTGCCATTCCGGGAAGAGGACCTTCCAGTCAATTTCCAATCCCAGAAAGCCAGGCAGACTACGCAGTGAACGGCATTGCTGGTGGCTGCGGTGGCTGCGGTGGTTGTGGCGGTTGTGGTGGCTGCGGCGGATGCGGTGGTTGACCTGCTGAGAGGCCAAGCAGTTTTTGCGAGTCCTGTCAGTGGACAAGTCCTGCCGACATCTGCTCACGATGTTCAACAGCTCTTTAACACTCGGAATGAGTTGCTGTAAATGTAAACGACTCGATTGGTCTGCTAACGCGACATTTACATCGATTCTAGAACATCCAAGGGTGACCTGGTTCATGGGAGCGGGTAGTCTCACCTCCTTTTAGCTGCTACCAGGTAGCAGAAATTACCGGGAAGTGTGTGAATTGGATTGGCGGGATCGTCTTACGCATTGACTTGCGGAGCCCCTGCCCGAGAAATGTCGCCGCATTCCAGGGAGGGATGTGGCCCCATTGTCCATGTATGTTTCCAAGACGTGCGAGCGGGACACGCTCAATAAGAGCACCTGTCCTGTTTAGAGCTCCCTTGCTGTCAGGACCAGCCTGCAATGTCGGACTGGCAAACGAGTCGTTTCAATAATCCGAGTACAACAGTTTCTCCCTGCTGGCCCATTGGTTTCTTTTCCAAGAAGACGTTTTCGCTCCGCAGTTCATGCATGCGGCCTGTGGCTTTTCGGGCATGGCCGATCTGCTTGAGGTGGACTCTTCTTACCAGTAGGCTTGCCAGTGGCGGTCTCTATGGTAAGCTGCACCAGGTCACGAAGACTCCTGAACCCTGAGTGACGCTTTGTGCGACGTAAGGCCCAGTGTGGCTTGGTCCCAGATCAGCGCTTCAGCTTTTACGATCACGTGCACACCACGGGCCACGAGCTCAGCCAATCCGGGACCTCAAGTTCGGTAGCACAACGAAGCCACGTCGTGGGGCGGGCCGGTGCATCTGCTGTCGGACTCAGAGCGGTGCAGATCACGAGGTTGTTTCGTGCTAAAGCATGTTACATGTAGCAAGTCCGTCATAAGTCCGGCATGTGGTGTTGTGCAAGCCTTAATCGAACATGTAGGTGGAGCCAGATGGCGACAGATTCAACATGGAAAGTTCACCCGCTATTCAAGACCAGGTATGGACGTGAAGCAGCCGCTGCTTTGCACAGCAGCCCTGACTTTGAGCAAGGCAGGGGGGACTTCGCAGCATGCTTCTCTGAAATCCACGGGGTTGCGAAGAAGCTTGAACGCTGATGTTCTGACAGCCTACTGCCTACAGTAGCATTCTTGAAGGGCTGATGTTGGAAAACACCGCGTTGGCACAAGCGGCTAATTTCTATGCAGAGTATCACGCCCTGAATTTACATCATCGAGTGTTGGGTGAGACCTTCCAGTGTCACCACGATCAGGACATGACCTTGCGGGACTACGCACAAGGTGCCTATCGCATGCGCGGCATAGGCGGGATGGATCTGCACCATGAGATGCAGAGCTAGCCGCCTGCACAGCAGGACGTGGCCAGCGCATTGACCTCCTTGTGACGCCCGAGGTCAGTGCACTCATGAACAAGCCCGGGCCTAGTCTTCCGGTCAAGCACGGTTTACGTTACGGGGGGACGGGACTTCAGTCAGCTCAAAAGAGGGTCGAAGGGCAGTATTCAAAGACTGCTTGTGCTGGCCAGGTTTCCTTGGTGCTTTATGGGATTCTTCGACGTGCCATTTCTGCTAGAACGAATGTGCATGTGTTCCGCTGCAGGGCTAGAGGGTACACATCGAGACCTCAGGTCCCTCAGCAGGGTCGCGCAGCTGAGCGAAGAGGTGCAACACAGAAAGCTTTATCACGCGCTCCTTGTGGCACGCATCGCGAGATTCGACATTCCTGAGCGCAGGTTGCTTCGGCCCTATCTTCGGCCCTATTCGTCGGCTAGTGGCTCCATAACCCTGGCCTCGGAGGCACGATCGAGAAGTCTCGCCGACCTCAAGAAGAAGGAGGCAGCAGGGCAGCAGAGCCAAGGTGAAAAAGGGATGCAGTGAGGGTCTGGTTTTGTTCAGGGAGCGTTGGGCACTTGGCATCGCAGGCAACATCGATAATTATTCTGCACGCCCACGTGCACATACGGGCACCGGCATCGAAACAGCCGTGGATCACCTCCACTGGATCTACAAGAACACGCAAGAGTTTGATATAGTTCGACTATGTGCTGCGGGTCGTGCAGTGCGACTCGTTGTTGAAATTAGGACCTAGGAAGCTGGAGATAGTACGAGCCTGGGTGCCAGCAGCGGAAGACTTTCTGCATGTTCGTGCGGGAGCTCCGAGGCCTGGGCACAGCTCGTGCTGGTGGATGTCATCACCTGGCTCGTGGTCAACGGCCTGGCAGCAGAGGTGACCTGGCTCCACTTCTGCCGCAGTTGCACCGACCGAAGATGTCCCTACAAAAGGGGGACGGACACGGAGAATCTAATAGCTTTTCATCCACAACACAGCGCCCTCTGCGGCTCATTGCCCGCCATCGTGCCAGCTTCACCGTAGCCCTGACCAGGCCAGCAAGCGCCAGCTTCTGCACCAGCAGGACCTCCGGAATCTCTGGCGAAGTGCCGCTTGCGGGGCGGCCTGGAGACAACGTCTGCTTTTGCTCGGAATGTATGTCAGAGTTTTCAGTGTGTCGAGCTGCTACGGTGAGCGAGCACACCTGCTGAATGCAAGGCGTACTTGTTAACTTATGGACCAAAACGTGTTCCGTAGCACTATCCAAAAAAGCGTTGCTTTTGAGCTACGAACCTGTCAACAGTGACAAGTTGCTTGTCGAGTAGTTGTAGTCCTAGTGGTAGTCGTCGTCGGCGTTGTAGCCCTAGTCGCAGGAGCCTATCTCGAAGTAGCAATCGTCGTCCTCGGAGTCGTAGTCGTCGTAGTCGTCGTAGTGGTGGTAGTAGTTGTTGTAGTTGAAATTGTAGTTGTAGTCGTCGTCGTCGTCGTAAGGGTAGGGGTAGGGGCAGTGGAGTTGTGGTGGTAGCAGTATAGTAGTAGTAGTAG